TTTGTTTTTAATTTGGACTCCACACAAAATAAAACCATATACAAATGCATAGAATGATAGTGGTGTCAAAATAAGCTCAGTCAGCTTTGTCTTGAAGGAATCATGCTCTTTCCTACTCATACTCTTGGAAGCAATTTAAAATGAGAATCATGGGTATGGTTGCCCCAACTTTTTGTTTGTTTTTTTTCCTAGCTTTCTCTTTTCCTGGGCATGTTTTGTTCAGAGTTGTTGCTGCTGCTGTTTTGGGGAGTTTGGCTGTTGAACATCAGTAGAGTATTTAATTCCTTATTCCTGCATATCTGAAGAATCCACTCAGGAGGTCAAATTAGTTAATTGAAGAAGATTTCCTCTTCACTGATCTGAAGTATGCTCATTGCAACAGCAGGCAGATACAGTCTGAAACAGATCTTAGTGGTGAATCTCAGGTTGTCTCAGACTGTGGTATTCCAGGAAAATGCTAACGCTGCATACAGGCACTGGGAAACCTGGTGGCCCTCTGGGGAAATTCAGATTGATTTTTACCAGGCTCCTAACAGATGCTGTTCAAATATGTTAGACCAAAACTGGAGTGTCTAAAGTTAGACTAAGTACAGATTTAGGAGTCTTACTAAATGAAGAAATCGTGACGTATGTTACTGTCTATCTTCAGCTCCCGTCTAAGTTAGTGGGATTTGCGTTTAATCAACAGCCTAAAAGGTCAGTCATCTTTTAAATAGAAACACAGTCTCAGTTTCAAAGACCAGGAACCTGTAGTTTAGGCTTGTAAGAGTCTTGCAGTGTGTATTATCTAAAATTGGTTGAGGAAGAGAGAGAGAAGGTAAAGCCAATTGGTCTGCTTGAGTTGAGACTGGCTTTCTAACCAGATGTGGTAGAGAGCAGAGAGAAGGAGAAATCATATTTTGCTACTTGGGTTTCTCCCAGATTAATTAAGGAAAAAAAGTTAACTTGTTGCTTTTCATATCCCTACATGATGTTATTAGAGTGTATAGTCTGCTCATGCCCCAAGAAAGCAAATTTCAAATATAATATAAATGAAATGCAAGAAAAAAACCCACATACTTTTGAGAAAATCCCTTGTCCTCATCTTATCAAGAGAACTTTGTTGGCACATCTGTATAACATCTTTCAAATTCTGTTGACTTCTGAGGTCAGTTTTTATTTTGTCAATAGGTTGCAACATTTGGGAAGTAACTTTTAGGCTGCTACTCCTGAATATATGCAACAGTTACAACTGCAAAATATACACAGCAGAATACAACAGCAGTTGTATTTTGGCATGTATACATATTGTATATAAACATGCCATCTTGAAAGGCTTTAGTTGGACTTGGCAGCTTATCAGGCCTTTATGCATTTTACTTAGATGAAGTCTCAGGAGTATTCTCGCCTGTATGAGACTATTATATGATGTGCATATATACTGATAGGCAATATTATTAAAATTAACTTTTTGTTCTATTTTTGATAGCCATTAAATTATGTGTAGATCAACAGGTTGTGCCAATTTGAATCTAATATTCAGCTTTTCAAGTGTTTCACTTAACTTTGTGAAATGCTGTACCTTTGGAATTCATGCTAAATTGGGAGCCAACTGAGCTGTCAGTGACCCACCCTCACGGTCCCAGCAGCAAACTGCACACTGGGCCCAGCGGGAAGAGGGACCCAACTCCTTGATACTTGTGGGGCTGCACTGGAGGGATGTTCAGCATGGAGAAGAGAAGGTTCAGGAGGAATCTGCAGGCTCTTTCAACCTAAGGAGAAGGCCACCCTCCTTCCAGACATTGCCAGCAAAAGGGGAAGAGGCAACGTCACAGCATCAAGTGAATTTCATCAGAGAAAATTCGGCATGAGAGTGATTTTTGAGCTCTGTAGCTGGTGGCCCAGAGGCTGTGAGCTCTCCCTCCTTTGAGACTTTCAAAACTTGCTTTGGCAAGGCCCTGAGCAACCTGATTAAACTTAAAAATTATTTCCGTGCTGAACAAGTGTTTGGACTAGATGACTTCCAGGGATACCTTCTAACATTTTTTCTTTTTTTTTTTTGCCTCTTGTGATTCTGTATCAAGTTGAAAGCAAGTTTTAAGTTTTATGTAGAACATTACTCACTTCTTAATGAGAATATGTAAACTGATGGGATTGCAGTCTAGATTTCATAAACCCTACTGAAATGCCTTTAAATCTTTGATTTAGTGATCTTTTTGAATGTTCATCTTAATCTCTTCCATGCTGTAGATGCTGCACAAACTTAATTTTAATTATTTTTTTAGTTTGTTTTTGAAAAACACTGTCAGAAATAAACCTCATAGTTGACCCAGAAGGCCTTGACTGACTTGAAGGTTTGTGTAGGTGTTGATGTCTGTCTGCAAAGGTGTCTGTGCTGCTGCAGGTCTCTTTTGTACACAGGCCAACGCTGCGACATCATCTTTCTTTTAGCTAGAAATACTTGCCATAGGTCAGCTTTGCTGTTGTAGTACTCTTTGAATTTAACTCCATGGAATAATTCTGTCTTGACTTGGTGCTGTTAGCTATGTGAGGTCTATTGATGTGGGCCACCAGATGAAACCAGTATTTCTCCAAAGTAATTAATTTTTGTGAAATGAGATTTTATTGGAGCTCTTCTGTTTCTGCTGCCTGTACTGTTACTCCTTCTGTATAGAAAGAGGTGGGGATTTTTTAAAGAGGAAAATATATTTAAAGTCTACCAATGCATTTCTAGTTCTGTTATGTTTTGCTATGGGATCTTCTGCTTTGACACCAAATAACAGTATGATACCTGAGAGCTTTTGTCCTCATAAGAAGTGGAGAGCTTTTTGCAGAAGTTACTGGTACAGAACTCAAAGCCAGCAGCAGCTCCCAGCTTTCCATACTCACTGTTTATTCTCTTAAGATAAATCATTTGACTTGGAGTTTGCATTACTGACAGATCAAGCTGCCAGGGTAAACATTGTAGGATTGAGTATTTTGAAAGATGTGTGTAATTTTGTGAAGGAACTAAAGCCACAAGTATCCGGAACCAGTGTAATGTTGCGTGTGTTCAAATAATATTTTGCAACGTTCATGAGAAAAGGAAGTAAGTATTTAGAAAACTATTGGTGAAATGGTAACAGTTTATGTTTCTTAATTTTTGTTTACTGAAAATTATTCTTGACACATGGAGCTTTTACTTGAATTTCCATGAAAAGCTGATCCTGGAAGTGGAAGAGACACACTTGTGTTACTGTACAGCCAAAAAATGCCATTATTTATAGTTGGGTAACCTTTCAGTTTACTTTTGACAGTAGAATTGATGCTAGAGTGAAAATGTTTTGGTTTTTAGTCTCAGAGTTTGGGGTCTATTTGTGAAATACCCAACATCTTCAGTTTTTAAAGGAAATACTAAGTAGTTTTCAGCTTCTGAATGTATGTCCATTTATTAAAGATGGAACCCATAAAATTTAGAATTTTAAACTGATCTTCACCACCCTTCATTAAAATGCTTTTCCTTTCTTAGTCCTCACTGTCAAATTATCATTTGCTTTGTTAACATTGTGGGGTCGATGATACATTTTGAGCAGAGGTTCATCCTGGGAGGATGCTCAACTTTCATAAAAAGCAAGGGACCAGCTGCTCTTTCACTCAACAAAACCAGTTTGGTTTAGGTGACCCTACACATAGAATCCAGAGAAATAAATTCCTAGTAAAATGTAGTACTTGTGCCTGTACTACTGAATGCTGGTTATTCTTTCTCTTGATTTGAATTTTTCTTCTCCACATGTAGACCTTGCAGACACTTGTTGGTCAGTTCAGATCTCCTGTAACTTTAATTAGCAATATGTTATGCACAGAAAATTTTAGGAGAGCAGATAAATAAAAACAGAACCAAAAGGTATCTTTCTTTTATGTAAATATACTTGAAAATATAGTTGAAAAATTTATGCAACTTTGTATAGATCTTGCTATAGAGAAAATTAGAAGATTCCCCACTACTTAAGTGTTAGGTTTGGCAGATATTTGTTTCTTCTTTACTGTAAAGATCTAAACATGTGCTTGGCTAACACTGCCCAATAGCCAGTATCTGTAGTGTGATAAGTATCACGTTACTTAACTGATTCAGGTTTTTGAAGGTACTCTGTACTAAATTATGTACTGAAGGAATTGTTCTGATACTTGGATACAGATCAAAATTTACACGTTACGGAGTTGTGGGAAACAAAATTTAAAGAAAAATATATACTGGTTATGTGTTTATATTATAGGTCTTGGCAATAATGTTTGACTTGACTACATATAATAAAGACTTAATGGGAAAATTTAATAATTCTGATTTTTTTTTTTGTTTGTTAAAAAAAGTTGGTCACTGTGTAATTAGGTTTTACATAAAATTGTGGAAAATCAAATTGATCTTACACAGGTGTTAAAAAAGTTCTTTCAAAGAATCACTTTTATGTGTTTATGAATGACTTAAACAGGACAAACTGTGGTATTTTCTAACTGAAGTTTTTTGTACTATGTGGTATGAAAGGACAGTGCTAGAGAGGGAGGATGGTGAACAGTGAGCTAGGTGAGTTATCAGATATAGATGGTAAAAAGCAGATTTGAGCTTTCTCTTAATTATTGCATTAGATGTATTTAGCTGTCATTCCAACAGAATGAAGAATTTATCTGGAGCACAGTAATTCAGCAACACAGCTGACAACATTTGTGAAAGATTTCTGTCTTTTTTTTTAAAGTGGTTATGAATTAGACTGTAGAGCAGGTGCTTTGAAGCTGTAACTTACAATTTCTTTTATCCATTGATCCATTTAATTTATTAAAACATTAGTTGTTGGTTCATAAGGTTTAAAATAATGTATCGAGAGCTGTTTCTTCCTTGTGTCCTCCTGAAACATTTAAACAGACTATTGTGTTCGTATTCCTGAGAAATCTGGTTTAGAAAGTGTTTTGTTTCATGTTTGTTGTGAATTTAGATTTCTGATTTTGTCTGAGGCTACTCCCTGGTTAAAACAGCTGCTCTTCCTCCCCAGGCCTACGAAGAGTACACCAGCAAGCTTGATGCTCTACAGCAGAGAGAACAGCAGTTACTGGAGTCCATGGGGAATGGAACTGATTTCTCTGTCTCCAGTTCAGCTTCAACAGACACAGTTGCATCATCTTCCTCCTCTAGCCTCTCTGTAGCACCTTCATCCCTTTCAGTTTATCAAAACCCTGCTGATATGTCACGGAATAACCCCAAGTCTCCACAGAAGCCTATTGTTAGAGTCTTCCTGCCCAACAAGCAAAGGACTGTGGTGAGTCACTTTCTATTCACATCCTTGGAAGCTCAGTAGTTCCTGTATCTCTCTCCCTCTCTATGCAAAAGTTAAGAGCTGAAAAAATACCTGTGTGGAGGTCAGAGAGGTGGCACAATCGGTGTGCTCTGCAGTGCTCCGTTGTTTTGATCTGTTGAGTGTTTTCTACAGGATTAACACAAAAAAGTCCATTATAGCTGTAACGCAGAACAGAAACTTTCCGGAGTTTTATAGCAATGAAGATAACTCCAGAAATATTTTTCTCAAGTCAGCTTTCTTGGATAAATAGTAATCTACCATTTTACGATGGTTTGGAAGGGGCAGGAAACTCTGTTTCCTATATTATACAAAATTATTGATTAGTTTAACAGGCCAAGACTTGAGAAGTGTTTTCTGTGTTGTCAAAGTTACTGCAAGCCGTGAATGCTTTAGAGCAAGAACCAGCCTCCTGCAGCTGAGGAGGCCTGTGCAGAATCACTTGGGTTTGTTTTGTTTTTCTATTCCTCCCCACTCACTGTGGTGTTTCATGTGAGGACCCTGGTGGGATCAGCCCCATCCCAGTGTAGAGAACTGGCATGGGGAGGGACATAGTTGCTATTGGGAGGTTCAAGAAGGGTTGCCTGCAAACTGCTCAAAACCTGATGTTTATCAGCTTTGACAGTGTTACAGTGATTCCTAAAGTCTTGGAAGAGCAGTTGATTTTTTGCTGGCTATTTAATTGTCTGCTGTAAGAGGGACTTTTTTATCAGTTAAGAGCTGCCAACTAAAGAGCCTTGATATGTGTTTTAGAATAATACACTACAAAGTGTGACATGTGAAATTACTGACAAACCATAGTCTAGGCTCTGTTTTGCAAGGCAGGACATACTCTGAACTTAGCAGGGGAGCTGTGTTTCCAGAGAAAGTGGGAAATGAATGGACAACCAGTGTCCATGTCAAAACAGTGCTTTCTGTAGCAGTCAGACAGGTATCAACTGTCTCTGGGCTGTGATTTCCATCCTTTCCCTACCCCACTGAACAAAAGACTCACAGTGAGGGCCGTTGTTTTCACGTGAGTTTTTTTTAATGTTGCTTAATTGTTAAAGATATCACTCAAGATTGAAAGTACTATTTGGTTTTGGACCTAGAGAATGGGAGTTTAATGTAAACTGTGACCACTGGGCAGATGTACAGTGTTAAGCCAGGTGATTTTGTTGTCTGCCTGTAAGTCTAGGCACATAGTACTACCCACATAGTGAAATCTGAAGAGAAGGTACTGGATTTTGGTTTCTTCATATGTCCCACCCTGTCTGGATGTTGGAGCTGCAGCCCTTGACATGGGGCTCACAAGTTGGTTTTGCTTCTCTCCTACATTGGGTCACAATATATCACATCCTGCATTGTTCTGTGCATTACCTTTTCTTTCTCTCCTATGTATTTTCTTGTCCTCCTCTCTAAGCCACATAGTATAATTCTACTCATATTCTTTTCCCACCATCTGCAGTATTCTCATTCTACTTTATCTGTCCTCATTTCTGCCTCCTTTTCAGTCCTGGGTTTTTTTCCTGCACTGAATCTAGATGTTCTTTCCCAGTTATGGGAAGCAAATGTCATTTAACAGGGAGAGGCTCTTGCTTCTGTCCCCACCTTTGTACTGGAGGCTAAACTCTATTTCCCTTACAAGTCTAACCCTGTAGCTTGTTTCCAGCTTGATAACTGTGGAGCATAAGAGTAAAGCTTCAGGAAAATTTGCAGGCTTGGGCTGTGATTTGAAAAAAACAAAAAGTGGTACCAACAGAAAAGGAGGAGAGAGGCTACTGGTGTAGTCAAGGTTCCTTTCATCTCAAATGTGATATGTCTGTAGGTACATGTGCATAAAGGAACAGACAGATGCCTGCAGATGTGGGGAGGCATGATCTTACTTGTGGGATCACTGGCTGGAAACTCAAGTTGACAGGATTCAGCTTCGTATGCTGTATAGCAAGGTCCAGGTCAACTCCAGTTCTGCTGGGACTTGGTTTTGGTTGAAATTGTTATTCTAAATAAGCAGTTGGACATATATCACAGAATCACAGAATATGCTGTTGGGATGGACCCACAAGGATCATCCAGTCCAGCCCTTAGCCCTGCACAGGGTCATCCCCAAGAGTCACACCATGTACCAGGAGTATCATCCAAACACTTCTTGAACTCTGTCAGGCTTGGTGTTGTGACCACTTCCCTGGGGAGCCTGTTCCTGTGCCCAACCACCCTCGGGGGAAAGAACCTTTTCCTAATATCCAACTAAACCTCCCCTAATACAACTTCAGGCCATTCCCTTGGGTCCTGTCACTGGTCACCACAGAGAAGAGATCAGTGCCTACCCCTCCTCTTTCCCTCACGAGGAAGGTGTAGACTGCAATGAGGTAAGGTCTGGTCAGCAGATACTGCACATTAATGGTTTGGCTTTGGTTCAAGGAGAGAGCTGACTTCTTTTTACTTCAGTTTTAAACACTGCTTGGATCTAGTTGTGTTATTAAGTTGAACTTTTTTTTTTTTAGCACACTAGTAAATTATCTCTGTTTTAGAGCTGGGAAATGGTGCTTATAGGAACTCTGAGTGTTGGGGTTGTTGGCCTTGGAGCTGAATTTCATTCCTCTGAAATTTGAAACAGCGCTCATGTTATTGAGAAAGTCAAGAATTTCTTGTACGGTGACTCTTAATGTAATTACTTTGTTTTCAATATTTATTGATCCTATGTGTAGTCTGTTGAAAATTAAGGAAATGCAAACACAGTTCAGAAGGAGTTGCAGCAGCTCACTGTATCCTTGGGTGCATCAGGCTCAGCATCACTAGCTGGTCGAGAGAGGTGATTCTCCCCCTCTACTCAGTGCAGCCTCACCTCGAGTGCTATGTGCATTTTTGGGTGGCACAGTATAAGATTCTGTGATTTACAGTGCAGTTTTAATGGCCAGCAGTCAGATGATGGGTTACCAGCCTAAAAAAACACCCAGCATTTTTCAGTGAACGCTGAGATTACGTGCTGTATCAGAGTTCCTTCATTCTCTCAATGGATAGAGGAGTGTTGCACATGTCTTAGTCTTCCTTCCTAACCTCTGGCTTCAAAAGCAGACCTGTTTGGTCTCACTTGTGCCCATTGACTGAGCCATTTGCTATGATGGTAGTTTAGGGTGTTCAGATACCCAAAGTAGCTTGTGAGAGGTTGAAGCAGGAAGGAGATTCTTTGTGAAAATATATGGTACCTGCCATCAGAGCCTTTTCCAAGTCCCCATTCCATGTGGCTGTGAAATAAGGATAACGGGTTTGACAATCAACACTGTACCCAGGAAAGGAGATACTGTTGAAGTTGCAGAGTTGCAGCAATCTTCTCCCCACCCCGACTTAAGCTGCTTTCAATTAATATCCACTTCTGAAAGAAAACCTTGTTAATATCCCAATAATATTTTCAGTTTTTACTTCCAATCACAACTTCACTTCAGCAGGAGAGAAATGTTGTCAGATCCTAAGGACTCTATGTTTATTTTTGTCTGGAAATGCCATGACAGTTCTTAAACTGACTTAAAGTCACTGGAATTGAGTTGGTAATGGAGAGCCAACCTCATTATTTATCTTTGATCATACTCTGAAGCAGTCCAAAGTACTACGACAGCCTTCTGCTATTTGTTTAGAGCTGTTAAAAATGCAGGAAATGGGGGGGAGTTGCTTACATATCTTACATTTTTGACTAGCAACTGCCTTGTTACTTGAGAGTTGTCTACATGTTTTGTTTATTATTAGTATTGTTTGCGTGTAGGATCAAGCAAATACATCTGTTGGAGTCGACTCCAATTAGAAACACAGTTTGGGGAAGCTGATGGAGTAAAGAGAAATGAGACCATGTTGTTCAGTGGAAGTGATTTTGGTGAAGAGGCAGTGTATCTGATGTTTCTGATGGGAAGTTTCTTCACGTGTGTCATAAGGCAGAGCACTGGACAAACCTCTTCCTAATGTAGGAAAGCCTGGCCAGTATGTACTAGAGCCTACAGATGATGATCAATTAGCAGTTTGAAGTCAGCATTTTGATTCAGCTGGCTACAGGGCAGAGTTCAAATGTAACTTTTTTGAAAGCAAAACCGGATAACTGTCCTGGTTAGCTGGAGAGGATTCAAGGAATGAGTAGTGTCAGATTTTTTTGTTTTTCCTTGTAGATGGCCTGGAAAGGAATAAAGAGAAGTTTTTCTCTGAACAACCTCTTAGAAGAAGCAACAGATTGTTTGCTCTTCTCTGGGGTGGGGAGGTTTTTCCCCCTCTAATGCAGAGAGATGTATATGTGTACTTCATCCTTTCTCAGTGGCTTGGGTCAGCTGACAAGTTACATGTCCTTTGGAGAAGCATTCCACACAGATGTGACCAGGAAAAGTCAGTGCAGCTGGGTTTGTTCTGTTCTGTTCTAGGCCAGAGAGAAGGGTGTTGAAATAATGAAAGATGATAAAAGTCTACCTAAGATGAAAAGTTGTTTTGCAGAACAAGTTGATGAAGCTTATCCAAATTGTGGCAGAATTTAGGGAGATATTAGTTCAAAACTTCTTTGGGCTAGGAATATAAGTGGCTGTGGTGTGGAAAGAAACAAATCTACTAATTGAGAAAGCTTTTGGGTGTGGAAGGAAAGTAAGAACTCTGATCTCCAGCTGGCTGCTGGAAGTCTGAGAGGTTATTAGATACTGAGATTTGGTGGAAGGGAGGTAGTCTTGAATGGAAGTAGATGACAGTGTGGTGTCATAAAAGCATGTTACATTATTTGCTGATGAGACTTTTGAGAGACTGCATGGAGAATGTAGGAGACAGAATGCAGTGAAAAAATTTTTAAAATGAAATGAAGGAGTTCCAGGCAGTGAGCATAAAAAGCTTTCTATGAGTATGAAGATTACAGGAATATGGTATTTGCATCTAGGACGGGATTTAAGCATTTTATGGGATTGCTTCTAGTTGTGTGATTTTTTTATTATTATTTTTTTTCTTTCTCTTTTTCTTTGAGGTTTTGA